GTATTATTATTATTATTATTATTATATTATTATTGTTATTATTATCATTTATGTTCTACTTACGATAAGGAGACACATAAATCCCTGTTTCCACGGCCAACCTGAAGAAATAATCTCACCACTGTCTTCTCCTGACTTGTTTTCACGGAGAGCTAAATAACAGCGTCATAATGCTTTACTTGTGAAAGACAACTCGTCCGCTTCATTCTAAACTTCCTTGGCCAACTTCCCACAATAGGGGTTGTCCACTTTACGTACGGCCACATTACAGTCGCTGTGACGCGATTCGTAAAAGAAAAGATTCCTTTTATTTATGTAAGTCGTGGCAGATGGGGGTCGAAATTTGCTTTTCGGCACTATTTAAAACATTTTTTTATAGGCCTAGAGCTAGCACATAATTATGTTCATTCCTTGTGTTTTATTGAGCTAAAATCAGAACTATAGAGCTAACATAACAGTATCTTCAGAACTTTTTTTTTTAATGCAGAAGCTAAAACAGCATTAAACCATCAATTTTTTGTAGTTGCAAATCTAACACAACATTTAATTTAATCCAAGTGTTCCAAGGAGCTAAAACAACTCAATGCCATCACTTTTTAAAATTGCAGAACACTAATAGCATGCTGTAGAGCATAACTATGTACAGTGTAAATGCAATTATTATAATTCTAAAAATGAATAATTATGATCATTATCACTATTATCATCATTGTTATTACCATTATTACTGTTGCACTGAGCTGAAACAACACCATAATATCAGTTTTTGTCATACTGGTTCGTAGATATGAAATAGCAACATACTATCAGCGTTTATTAAATTTGTCTGCACAGCTAAAACAGAACTGTATTTATACCCATTTGTGTGTTGAAGGTAAACTACGTCAAGATTATGTTCTCTGTATTTTAGCAGACTTTTATGCAGAGATAAAATAAAACTATATTATATTATACCTATATTTTATTTGATCTAAAACAACACCGCCCCATCATTTTTGTCACACTTTTATGGAAATGTAAACAACACCATACTATCAGAATTTTATCTGTCTTTTATGGATAGCTAAAGAAACAGTACATTCACACCTAGAGCTTAAAAACACAAGATAATACTATCAGCTTCTATTAGACCTTTAGATAAAGCTAAAAATAATACCACGTTTACCTATACACTTATAGCTGTTATCATACCTTTCAGTAGAGCGAAAGCAACATTTTTACACCAACACTAACAGCTTTTATCATACCTTTCAGAAGGCTAAAAAAGAAAGGCATGTTTACACCACCGCTTTTATCATACCTTTCAAACAACACCACGTTTACACGAACACTAACAGCTTTTATCATACCTTTCAGCAAAGCTAAAACAACTCCACATTTACACAATTACTACTATCAGCCGCACCGCGATAACTGTACGGGGTAAGTACTCACAGGCGATGGCAATCTGCCTCTTCACGATAAGCCGGTAAATCCTGACACTGTTACTATCACTTGCTGTGAGACACCTGTATCACCCCTCTCTCGCTCTCCCTGGTTCTCTCTGTCTTTCTGTCTCTCTGTCTCTGTCTCTCTCTATCGTCGCGCTCTCTCTCCCCCTCCCTCTCTATAACTGTTTCGTTGCTCTCTCTCTCTCCTTCATTCGCCGTCTTTCTCTGCCACCTAACTCCTGATTCAGGAATCCCTCACATATTCTCTCTCTCTCTCTCTCTCTCTCTCTCTCTCTCTCTCTCTCTCTCTATCTCTCTCTCTCTCTCTCTCTCTCTCTCTCTCTCTCGCTCGCTCGCTCGCTCTCTCTCTCTCTCACACACACACGCTCGCACGTCCGCGCGCGCGTTCACTTTTCGCCGTATCCCGTCCGTCACAACTCACCCGCTTTCGCTCCCAGCGCTCACGCCACCACGCACAGACAACAGCGGTTCTCCAGGAATTCCTTTCATCATTGTGACCATCGCGTATTCTTCGGCTCAAGTCCTAGTATTTAGCGTCACGACTGGTTGCGCTCTCTGCCCACACAGCATCTATCCGGAGACGTCTCCGACCGAGATAGACCAATCAAAATATTTTGGGTCTCTAGACCAAGTAAAAAAAATCTGGGGGTTTACAGCATGC